CATACACTCTGCCTCTATAAAATACAAAAATCCCCCTGCGCTCCACAGAACCTAGTGAGCAAGCTGCTATCACCTGTTCTTTATACCGCAAGATATGTGAAATCAAATCATATAAGTGGTGAAGCGCTCAACTTATAATTCCCTAGTGAAATACACAAATCATATCTCTCAATAATACAAATAATAAATATTAAATAAAACTAGTGCAATATCTTCATACACATAACAAATATATATCCCTGGTGATATAGTGAAAACTTATATCTCTTAAACTGTGCAGAAAGTGAAATCCAATGATTAAAATAAATGGTGATGCCACACTGTGAAAATTAATGGCAAAGTGTTCAAAATAATGTCACTCCATGCTGCAAATAGTGCTCTTCGTGTAAATCTTGACGTGACTCCCCTCAATAGCAGAAATGCCCCCTCACCTTCCACATTCGACCCTTGCGGGTCACAGAGCTTTTTTATATATCTCTCTCTGTTAGATGTTCTCCACTGCCTCCACCGACCATAATCCACCTCCAGGCAGTAAGTACCTCTCCAATTACTCCACTTTGCCAGGTAAACCTCTCCTCCACTGCCACCTCCGACCAAGATCCTCCTCCAGGCAGTAAATAATATCCAATACCCTCACACAATGGACTCAGGCTCAGAGCGATTCATATAAAAAACGATAAAACAGACCTCCATAGTGCAACAACGTTTTATTAAGGTAATCCAATGCAGTAGAACATTAAACTCACATGTCCTCACGATTTGACAAGCAGTTTCCCATATACTATGGGTATATACAGGAGTCCCAAGATGGCGTCCGAACCCGGAACCGGAAGTACGTCACCCCTACGTCGACGCGTTGCGCCACTGTCACGTGGCTTCATCAGGATACCGCATTGGATGGCCGCACTTCCTTTTAACTCCTCTACATGATCTACAAGGGGCGTGTATACTACCTCCATTTTCATGGAGCCCACTATACAGAGACAGCCGCGATCCGCCGCTGATTCCCCTAATTCCAGACTCTACAAAGGGCATAAGGATTACCCATATATAAAAAAAAACTACTACATGGGGCATATATATTATCGTGGGACCCACTGTATATAGGACAACTGGCTCATAAGTACAAACCACCCCCCATAAAAACCTTTTATTACACCACATAAGGTAAGTATACTAAACCCAAAAAAACCCCATAAGATCAAAGTTATAATTAAAATAAAATAAAAACACAATGAAATCAGGGGATAAATCTACTCTTAATACTTCCCCTCCCATCTAGACATATCCATAGATATATCTAAATTTGTATATATATATATATATACACAAATATAAAAATATATAAAAATATACACCAAAAATAGTAAAAAAAAAATTATATATATATAAAAAACATATATATATATAAAAAATGTATACAAATACATAAACACCATTCCATAAGTAAATTTAATATTGTAATAGATTCCAATTGTTTTTTGTATTTAAATTTAAACCATTAATTTGAAGAAATATTGCAAATATTAAAAGCCATGTTCTGAAATAATTTTAAAATTCTAAAAAACTCTAAAAAACTCTAAAAGAGCTCCTGTATAGTACCCATACCACATGTTCACAGAAATGGAATCATCAATAATTTACAACCTAAGCCAAATATTATTAAAAATCATTAATGAAGCAATTGAGATCAAATTCAATGTTTAAGCCTCTAGGTGTCACACTACTCTGCCACCATGCTTTTTATCCAAAACCAGTGCCAAGAGACAAAGCATGGGGAAAAGTGCATGTATTGCCCAGATGTACCCAATATGATTTTTTTTTTGGCTATACATTTTTTTACAGATTTTAAGCAATACACAGAAAATTATATAGAATGGGTCTATGTATAAAAAGTCTCAAGAATTTCAAACAGCAGTCGTGAATAATTCCCCTCTTTTTCCCAATCGGTTTATTTTCTATGATTGCCAGGTCCATCTAGTGGCCATAACTAGTTACATAGTTAGTCTGGCTGAAGAAAAGACAAAAGTCCATCCAGTTCAACCATAGAAAAAAAAAAATTACAATCCTATACCCAGAGTTGATTCAGAGGAAGGCAAAAAAAACCCCCAGCAAAGCACAAGTAAGAAAGGGTTTTATTTTTATATTTCAGGCAAGTACTGCATTATGGCCACTAGCTGGAGCTGACAATCATAGGAAATAAACGTGTTAGACACAATACTCATGACGGCTGTGTGAATGCGCTGACATTCTCACCGCAATTTCTTTTGATTTGGGGGCACCCGAGCAGGCTCGCTCCCAAACCGCTGCTCTGTGCGTCCATTCACACACAGCCACAGTTCGGCCCTGCTTTTTGTTCTCTCTCATTGGCTCACTGGCTGTGGCCGAGAATAGTGGGAGCCAATGGCTCCTGCTGCTGTCTCAACCAATGAGGAGGGAGAGACATAAGACAGCCATTGAGATGGGGCTCAGGTAAGTATTGGGGGGGAGCTGCTGCACACAAAAGGTTTTTCACCTTCATGCAACTACTTCATTGTTACTGATACCTATTTCATTACAGATACATAGTGTTCTCCCATATGGAAGAAAAATATATTTGAAATATATTTTAAAAATATTCTTCCCAAATATATTGACTTATATTCGAAATGCTACAATTTTGGCCATATTCAATATATTTCTAAATATATTTCATTAAATATATGTATACACTGCATGTTGAAATGCGTTTTTATTACAAAAAATATGAAAAATATTTGTAAAAATACATTTCAAATATACTGTATGTCTTTAAAAACACAAATCTACATTTTTGGAAATATATGTAAAAATATATGTTAAAATTACTTTTATATGTTAAAAAAAATCTGAAGAATATATTTAAAAAAAAATTATTAAAAATATTTTTCATATATTTTGTAATATCTCATGCTTTGCTGGGGTCTTTTTTTTGCCTTCCTCTGGATCAACTGTGGGTATAGGATTATAACTTTTTTTTTTCTATGGTTGAACTGGATGGACTTTTGTCTTTTTTCAGCCAGACTAACTATGTAACTATATAATATATTTATTGAAATATATTTTGAAATTTATTGAATATGGCCAAAATTGTAGCATTTCAAATATATGTCAATATACTTGGGAAGAATATTTTTTTAAATATATTTCAAATATATTTTTCTTCCATATGGGAGAACACTATGTATCTGTAATACATAGGTTGAGACAGCAGCAGGAGCCATTGGCTCCCACTATTGTCAGCCACAGCCAGTGAGCCAATGAGAGAACAAAAAGCAGGGCCGAACTGTGGCTGTGTGTGAATGGACGCACAGAGCAGCGGTTTGGGAGCGAGCCTGCTCGGGTGCCCCCAAATCAAGCTGCTTGCTGTGGGGGCACTTGGCAGGAGGGAGGGGCAAGGAGTGCCAGCGGGGGACCCGAGAAGAGGAGGATTAGGGCTGCTGTGTGCAAAATCATTACACAGAGCAGGTAAGTATAACAACTCTCTCCTGTCAGCAGCGACATGCTGTTTTTATCTATCTGCAAAGCAGGGAGATAAAAAAAAAAACAGCACATCCCCAGAGCAGGTAAGAATGACATGATTATTTTTTTTTTTTTAAAATCTGCCTTTACAATTAAAGTATGTGTAAACACAAAAACAAAAATGAAATATATTTCAGCCATCCAATCCTTAGGAATGGTGGCTGCATTGGTTTTCTTTCTTCAGGTTGGGCACATTTTCTGCATATACAGACACATTTCTGCTAGAAATCCAGTGTCCTTGTAACTTCCTGTGCTCTAAACTGATATCTCAAATTATATTATCTGCCTTTTAAGTTATCTTCTGTGGACTACAAAACAACTGCCCTTTATGCAATGGAGATGAGCAGAGGGGGAGGCATCTGACCAGGGGCCAATGGGGTGTGCTCCCGATTATATGACCGCTGTGATAGAAAATCACAACAGATACATGATACAGAAGCCATGCCAGGAGGTGGCTATAAAGGGGTTATTATAGGAAAAGGTTTAAATTATGCTTCATCCACACAATCTGTTCAATTCACATTTTATCTGAGTTTTATGCAGCAAACTGCTGACATGTTTCAGCACTCTTGTCAAATAATTATGTACAACAGCTTTCCCTACTATGGATGAGCGAAATTGAGAATTTTCATATCTCTGACACTTCTGCAAAAATCAATTTTAAAGCAGAATTTTATCTATATTCCTGGCAAATGATTTATCTCTCCCCAATCTGTCCAAACGTTAAAAAGTAGTCTTTTGTTCAAAGGTTCGGGGTACATTTTATTGTACTGTATTTAAAGTGTTACTAATCCCCGGACCCTACATTCACTATATCTGGTCTCCCCGGACTCTGCATTCACTATATCTGGTCTCCCCGGACCCTGCATCCACTATATCTGGTCTCCCCGGACCCTGCATTCACTATATCCGCTCTCCCCGGACCCTGCATTCACTATATCTGGTCTCCCCGGACCCTGCATTCACTATATCCGCTCTCCCCGGACCCTGCATTCACTATATCTGGTCTCCCTGGACCCTTCATTCACTATATCTGGTCTCCCCCCAGACCCTGCACTCACTATATCTGGTCTCTCCAGACCCTGCATTCACTATATCTGCTCTCCCCCGGACCCTGCATTCACTATACCTGCTCTCCCCGGACCCTGCATTCACTATATCTGGTCTCCCCAGACCCTGCATTCACTATATCTGGTCTCCCCGGACCCTGCATTCACTATATCTGGTCTCCCCGGACCCTGCATTCACTATATCTGGTCTCCCCGGGCCCTGCATTCACTATATCTGGTCTCCCCAGACCCTGCTCTCACTATATCTGGTCTCCCACAGTACACAGAACGTGGATATGCAATTGTTTTAGTAAATATAAACTGCTAATTACCTTTTATCATCAGCAGTATATAGCAATCTTGTGACGTCTATCAGTGTTCAGCTGAGCACTGGTTAAAGCTTGTAGGAGGAGTTTTCTCTAGGAGGATGCAGAACCCCTGACCTCTGTCTGGACGGTGCTGATTGGCCCTGTGCTGATCGCATACAGTCTCCCAAGAAAAAAAAAACCTCTAGCAATACACACCAAATTGAGCATGTGCAGAGTGTCTCCACACAAAATGTCTTATCAGGAGATAAAAAGGAGACACTAGAAGAAGGGGAGGATTAAAGAAGACAGGATCAAACAGCATTTTTGCACAATGCAGAGGATTAAGCCCTTAGGTTCCACAGTGAGTATAACAAGCATGCTTTACTGCATATACAGACTGATTTTACTGTTGTGGATTTAGTAACACTGTAAGTTTATACATTTAGTTGCACCTATTACACAGGATTGGCAGGGCACAACTAAATTACATTCTTTTAGGCGTCTTGTCTCTCATTGAAACTTTGGATTCTTTTGGACGTTGGAAACAGAAATGTTTTATCAAAGAAGATAAGGAAAGCATGGAAAACAACCAAAAAGGAGCTCAGAGCTCCATCTACTGGTTGCATATGAAAGCACAACATATTCATACAATATTTCATATTCATGGGACTAAACAAAATATATACAGTATATATATTATTTAAATGCATTTTTAGAGCTTGTTATAATAAATAGCTAAAGAAAATAAACATGAAAACAATATAGCATTTCCAGCAAGCAAACCTGCACTTCATCACCCCATCCTTATTTCAGTCAGTCACTGAGAGTAAAGGAAAAGCTGGTTTCTACCAGGTACAATGGAGCATCTGACTTACTTTCCTTTCTCTATAGGCCAGGCATGTCCAAAGTCCGGCCCGGGGGTCGGTTTAATATGGCCCTCCAACAGCCCTCCCTGCTTTGTGTAATGTGGCCCTCCCACGGCCCTCCCTTCTATGGCAGACAGTCTTCTGCTTGAGAGCAGAGGGCAGTGCGCATGCCTGACTGCGGCACGTTCTCCCTGGTCTGTGTAAATGCGGCTGTCGCACGGCCCTCCCTTCTGTGGCAGACAGTCTTCTGCTTGAGAGCAGTGCGCATGCGTGACTGCGCCGCGCTGGGAGCGACAGAGGGCGGTGACGTCAGGGCCGGGCTTCCAGCGTGAAGTGTGTTTCTCTTCCCCTCCCAGCTGCCGAGCAGAGACTTCAGCTCCAGCTATCTTTTTCACCCTTCACATTAGTGCAGGTAAGTTTTTTTTAAATTAATTTTCAATACATTGTGAAAACTCAGCTGTCAGTTGATCTTAATGTTATGAAATGAAAAGTATGTCGTTTGCAATTAACTTGGCATAAAATAATTTATTTGCATTTAATTGTAATGGTTCAAAGAATGTTCGGAAAAATGTTCGGCCCTCCACCATGTTCACTTCATCCAATCTGGCCCTCTTTGAAAAAAGTTTGGACACCCCTGCTATAGGCCAAGTGACTCCTTCTGTATCAGAGACAATGATGACCAGGACAAACAGAAAAGCTGAATCTCTCCTGGGGGAACACAGACAGAAATAAAATCTTGACAGAGGGTCTAACCCTGCTACACCGTATCCAAAACTTGTGGGTCACCGAAGTGCACTTACTTTTGCTTTCCTGTGAACCAGAGTCAGTTTATAGTGGGCTAACCCCGCTGTCAGCTGGTGTCACACAGCAGCTCCAGGCTGTGTGACACCATATCCCGACCATATTGTTGGGATCCACCCAGCTGCCTGATTGGCAGCTGACTCAGGGTCTCATTACACAGCTAGGGAAGAGAAGAGCTTTTACTTACCAGATCCTCCGTTCCTCCAGCAGATGGTGCTCCCCCATGCTCCAGTGGTGGACTGTTCGTTGATGTCATCATGTCCAATTCAGGGCTGTGACTCCTGCACTGGTCTTGATCACATCAGGGCTGAGGGAGCATGGGGGAGATGACCCTGTAAAGATCGATCTAGCAGCACAGGACAACAGAGGATCAGGTAAGTAAACTTTCTTTAACAAATTTAATAGACCTAAAAAAGCATTTAACTCTTGCAGTGTGGGGGCAGCCCCACTGCAAGGGATAATTTTCACGTTTCTTGGAGTTGGGCTTTAAAGTGGTTGTAAGGGCTGAAGGTGTGTAACTGCATTCATTCTATGCATGAATGTTAAAAAACCTTCTGTGCGTTGCTCCCCCCACAGCCCCATTAATAGTCACCTGAGCCCCCTCTCGATCCAGCGATGTGTGGGAGCCTCATCTATCCCAGGTCTCTCACTGCTGTCAGTTACAGCCAGTGAGTCAATGAGGAGATAGCGGGGGGTGGGGCCAAGTTGTGGCTCTGCGTGTCTTATGGACGCATAGAGTGGGGCTTGGGAGCGAGCATGCACTAGTGCCCCCATGGCAAGTGGCTTGCTATTGGGGGCACTGGTGAAGAGGGAGAAGCTAAGAGCACCAGCAGGGGATATGAGAAGAAGAAGATTGTGGCTGCAAACCCATTGCACTTTAAAAATAGGCTGGAGATTTCCCATAATTGACCTTGTCAGTACTGTGCTGGCAGATCTCATTATCAGTTGTAAACTAGATGGACTCTAACAAAGGATTTCCTCCCACACTCCAAATACATGCGGGGGACAACTTGCAGAGACTGATTTAAATACACTAAGTATGAAAACACTGCTATACATTAAGTTCCTATTGTTAAAGCGGAGCTCCACCCAAAAAGGGAAGTTCCACTTTAAGTACTGGTCCTCTTCTCCCCATGAGGAATTGGCACCTTTGGGGAGCGGGTACCTGATTTTAACAGGTACCCACTCCCACTTCCGCTGCAATCGCACAGGCAATCGGAAGCTGAAGTGACATGTGACAGGTCCCAGAAGACTACAAGACCATTCACAAGGTGCAGCACTCCTCGTGAATGCGCAGTGGGCACCCGGCTGTGAAGCTACTAGCTGTCACATTCGGGTGCCAACACTGAAGATGCCGGCACCGGGGAACGAGGATGGCTGATGAAACTGGCTGCAGTGAGTACACCGCTGGATTGTAGGACAGGTGAGTGCCTCTTAGTCTACAGTTTTTGTAGCTGCTGAAGTTGTTTTTTTTTTAGCTTTGACTGGAGTTCTGCTTTAATAAATAATACATTGATAAAGAGTCCAGGGTTTGGGTTCTGCATTGTATGTTAGTGACAGGAAACTCAGTCTGTCCCTCCTTCACCAGTGGGGACAGATTGAGTTTTCTCTCATTTTCTAATTGTCCAGGGTAGCTGCTCCAAATAAACACTTAGAATAAGAGGTAAGAATCGGGGGAGGACTGACAACTAATGGGGCCCCCGGCAAGAGGGGATCATGGGGCCCCTGTGTCCTTGCCCACACTCAAAGCACACCCAAAAAAAGCATATAAAAGGTACCAGGGGCATTTCATGGGGCCCTCTGGTGACCCTGGGCCCTCAGTTAGTGCCCGAGTGCTCGAATGGTCAGTCCGCCCCTGGTAAGAATCTATTATTTTTCAAAATGTTTTTTGATATGTTGCTTGAATGGCAACACATAAAAAAGCTATAGTGGGGGTTTCTCAAAAAAATCTGAAAATATATTTTTAAAAATATATTTTTTTTAGATCTATTCTTCAGATTTTTTTAACATATAAAAAAGTCATTTTAACGTATATTTTTACATATATTTGTAAATACATTCCAAAAATGTATATTTGTATTTTTAAAGACATACAGTATATTTGAAATGTATTTTTAAAAATATTTTTCATATATTTTGTAATAAAGACGCATTTCAACATACAGCATATTGAATATGGCCAAAATTGTAGCATTTCAAATATATGTCAATATATTTGGGAAGAATATTTTTAAAATATATTTCAAATATGGGATAACTCAATGTTTACAAAGGATATAAATCCACAAACAAGATAGGTTCCATAGGTTTTGTTCTTAAGTTGAATTCATATATAAGTTGGCTCAGGTACATTTTTTAGGTGGAACTCCAGCCAAAAAAAATACTTTTTATGTTTTTTTGGATAGCATAGGCAAGAGTTAACACCCTTCTAACATTTGTTTTGCTGTCTGTGCCCCTATTCAGAAGATACCGACTCACTTTCTGTCCCTGTGACAATTGGAATTTGAAAATTTTGAGTTGTTGTGGAAACAAGGATTGGTGCTAAAGCTTCAGTGGAGGCATCTTTTTCCCATGATACCTCTTACAGGAATGAATTTCCCCTCCTAGGTCTCCAATAGAACACCTCTGGGGACCATTTTGAGTTGCTGCAATGAAATTTCAGCAAAATGGACTCGCCTGATGCATCATATTTTCACTTGGATTTTCGGGGTGTCTTTGAATTCAGTCCTCTGCAGGTCAATAATTTTCCTTTCCATCAAATGATGGGGCATCCTTACGTCCCTAACCAGGGGCGGACTGACCATTTGGAAACTCAGGCACTGCCCGAGGGCCCGGGGTAAGTAGGGGGCCCCATGAGATGCCCCTGGTACTTTTTTCATAGGCTTTTTTTGAGTTTTGGCAAGGACACAGGGGCCCCATGATCCCCTATTCCCCGGGGGCCCCATGAGTTGTCAGTCCGCCCCTGTCCCTAACACATTACCCAGTCCATATCAGAGATCCAGCATGATATTTTTCCCCATTGAGATCTGATGTGTTTTCAGAGTATTCTTTTCATTTCTTTGAGCAGTGTACATTATTATTATTATTATACAGGATTTATATAGCACTAAAAGGTTTGCTCAGCACTGTACATTATAGTGGGGGACAGTACATGAGAATACAGTAACAATACAATACACGAGGGGGTCAAGGGCCCTGCTTTTTCGAGCTTACAATCTAGGAGGGAGGGGAAAGTGGTACAGAAGGAAGTGGCTGTGGGGGATGGAGTGGTAGGAGGAGTGGAGGAGATCGGCTGTTAGGTGAGGGCAGGGTAGGCTTCCCTGAAGAGATGGGTTTTCAGGGTGCGCCTAAAGATGAGGAGGGTAGGTGACGGTCTGATGGATTGGGGTAATGAGTTCCAGAGGATGGGGGAAGTCCTGGAGAAGTCCTGCAGTCGGGCGTGGGAGGTGGAGACCAGGGAGTTAGAAAGTAGGAGGTATACATTAGACCTACCAACAACTATGTAGTGCCAGGGCCTGTCTGACTGGATACAAACTGAATAAAAAGATCAGGTAGGTCTTCATATTACATAGTTTTGGTAAATCAAACATTGATAGTTCAAATGATTGTATGGCCAGATTGGAACATGTATGGTGACCCTAAGATCCGAATTTTTGTGTGTGTGTGTACTGTAGAATGTAGACCAATAAAACGGTGGTCTTCTTCCCTAGCTGCCAGAGATTTCCCATCACATCAGACCTGTCACAAAACATGACAAATATTAATGTCAGGAAAAGAACATGAATGAGGCAGGGTCTCTGCTGAATCAGGAGAACATCCAGCCGGCCGGCCCACAATTACCACATCCCATCGTGAAGCTGTCATTTGGCATTACGGTCCCCGTCTCGCCGCCACGGAACACCGCGATGTCTGGGAAATGCGCTGTCTACTAATCACTCCGACTTTACTTGAAATTATGTCTCAGAGTCAACATTCTCCCAATTCTAATGAAGTCCCGGAGGAGTTCTCCGGTGAAGGGAGAGGAAAGAAGTGAGGAGCGTGGACGGGCTCCCGTTGGAGGAAGATGTCAGAGAGAAACGTATCCACATCTCCAGCTCTGCTCACATCTCCATCTGCATAGTCCATGTATTATAAATGGAGTGGAGCCACACACGGCTGTGAGCAGGCAGACAGGACATCGGACACGCTGAGTTACAGAACGCACAGCCCTTACAAAGTCGCTGCAGGAAGAGGATGAAGCGGCTGGCTGTCCAATGATGTTGAAGGCAGGAGGACTGGAAAAATACTTGCTTGGCCCTTTCACTGCCGGAGCTATTTTCTTGTTTTTTCGCACACAGTCCCCATCACACCGCAACAACTACAACTACACCTCCAGTGAAGTCGCACGATTTTCAAAGTTGAATGTCATTCTGACTTCAGGTGCGACTTGCAAGACACATATATCTATCAAGTCTCACCTGAAGTAATGCATACACTACTTTCAAAATCTGTGTGACTCCAACCAAGTCAGAATTGCACCGATATGACCGCTTTAATTGCGGATAATAGGGTGCGACCTACCATGCGATTTGGAACTCACATCACATGGCAAGTCGAACTCGGTATGACTGGAACTTAGGCTGCTTTCAGAACGAGTCACCAGTCATACCACTGCAATTTAAAATTTGTGTGCAATTTCAGGTGTGATTTCTGAAGACTTTATTGCTACTTGTGAAGATTTTCAACGATTTCTCGCAATTTGCAGTGCGATTTCCATTATTTTCTATGTATGTGAAATCGCAACAAAACTGCAGAAAAGGTACAGTGAAGGAAATAAGTATTTGATCATCTGCTGATTTTGAATGTTTGCCCACTCACAAAGAAATGATCGGTCTAAAAATCGAATGGTAGGTGTATTGTAATACAGAGAGACAGAATAGCAACACAAAAATTCAAAAGAAATACGTCTAACAAATGATGCACTGATTTGCATGTTCATGAGGGAAATAAGTATTTGATCCCCTATCATTCAGCAGGATTTCTGGATACCAGGTGTCTTTCATACAGGTAACAAGCTGAGATTAGAAGCAGTCTCTTAAAGGGAGTGCTGCTAATCTCATTTTGTTACCTGTATAAAAGACACCTGTCCACAGGAGCAATCAAACAATCAGATTCCAAACTCTCCACCATGGCAATGACCAAAGAGCTGTCCAAGGATGTCAGGGACAAGATTGTAGACCTACACAAGGCTGGACTGGGCTACCAAACTATCACCAAGCAGCTTGCTGAGAAGGTGACAACAGTTGGTGCAATCATTCACAAATGGAAGAAACACAAAACAACTGTCAGTCTCCCTAGGTCTGGTGCACCATGCAAGATCTCACCTCGTGGAGTGTCAATGATCATGAGAACAGTGAGGAATCATCCCAGAACTTATTTCCTTCTCTGTAATGCAAGAACTATTTTAGAAATCGCTCTGCAGCAAATCGCACATGTTAAGACACTGACATTCACATTCACAAATTGCACCTGAAATCACACTGGTATGTGTTTTTCTCATACTAAAAACGCAAAAAAAAAAAATGTTTCTCTTTAAATCTTATGGGACTCTTCACACCACTGCAATGCAGGCGTGATGCGCTTTCTTTGAAAGGTCCTGACTGCTGCATCTTTGGTGTTGCTTTTCAAAATCACACCAAAAATGCAGCTCCCCATTGAAAAGAATAGAAGACGCACCAGACAAGCATCACAAACGCTGCAAAAAAAACGCAATATGCGTTTTTATCGCTTTTTTGCTATGTAGCAATGTGAAAGCAGCCAAAAGGTGACACTGAACAACATTCTTCTTTTTCAAAAATAATCCCCACACATTCACTAGGCCTGGTTCACACCTATGCAGGTTGCGGTTGATGCATTTTTTTGGTGCGGTTTGCATTTTTTCACAGGAGTTTTTGACGCATATTTAATGCGGTTTTTATGTGTTTTGTTTGTTTGGGAGGTGTCTGTTGTCTTGCAGAGAAACCAGCAAAAATGCAAGCAGAGTTTTTGGTGAGTGTCCTCTACATATCCATTGAAGTCTATGAAGCCAAAAGTACAACCTGCTGCAGGAAAAAAGCTCCTGACCCTCTTCTTCAAAAATCGCACCAGTGGAAAATGCACAGATGTGAGAGGGACCATAGAAAACCATGTTAAATGGTCTATAGTGTGTTTCTGCAAAACTGAAAATGCTCTGGAAAATGCATAGGTGTGAACCAGGCCTCATGACCTCGCACTCATGAAACTTTTATGCCCCATTCACACCTTTGTGCTCTGGGAACGTGCGCAGAAATATGAGTTTCTGTGCGTTTTCCCAGAAACTCTCGAAAATGTGGCAAGACGTGCACCACGCTTGCGGTGCCATTTATTCCTAAATGGTGTCCCAATGGTGCAAGTAGCAGAGGCGCATTTTAACATTTTTTGACAAAACGTGCCAAAATACGCATTTCAAAAACACATGAGGCTCACTGCCAGGAAAAAAAGATGCAGGAGCTACTTTGGTGTTTTTGTCACACATAGGACAGCCCATTCAACTGAATTGGTTGCCCTATGCCAGAGGCCTCCAAACTGTGGCCCAAGGGTCAGATGCAGTCTTTTGCCAGCCTTTAACAGGCCCTTGGGGATCTATTGCTCTGAATAAAACAAAGCACTATTCCTCCCACTGACACCAACAATGGTGCACTATTTCTTCCACTGATACCAACGATGGGGCACTATTCCTTCCAATGATATGAGACACTATCCACTGATACCAACAATGATGCACTGTTTCTTCCACTGATACCAATGCTGGGTTATAATTTCTTCCACTGATACCAATGATGGGTTATTATTCCTCCACTGATACCAATGATGGGTTATTATTATTCCTCCACAGATACCAATGATGGGTTATTATTCCTCCACAGATACCAATGATGGGTTATTATTCCTCCACTGATACCAATGATGGGTTATTATTCCTCCACAGATACCAATGATGGGTTATTATTCCTCCACTGATACCAATGATGGGTTATTATTCCTCCACTGATACCAATGCTGGGTTATTATTTCTTCATTGATACCAATGCTGGGTTATTATTTCTTCCACTGATACCAATGATGGGTTGTTATTTCTTCCACTGATACCAATGATGGGTTATTATTCCTTCCACTGATACCAATGATGGGTTATTATTCCTTCCACTGATACCAATGATGGGTTGTTATTTCTCCCCTTCACTGATACCAATGATGGGTTATTATTCCTTCCACTGATACCAATGATGGGTTATTATTCCTTCCACTGATACCAATGATGGGGTTATTATTCCTTCCACTGATACCAATGATGGGTTATTATTCTTTCCACTGATACCAATGATGGGTTATTATTCCTCCACTGATACCAATGATGGGTTATTATTCCTCCACTGATACCAATGATGGGTTATTATTCC